TTTTTTTTTTTTTTTTGTCAAGTTCTAAACGAAAGGAGAAACTAATCAAATTAGTTTAGTAAATGATACTGATGCCAAACTTTGGAACGGTAGTGTATTTATATATAACCAATATATCTGTTTGAAAACCACTGGTGGATGTATCGCCAATATTAAGCTGTTTATTTGTTAGGCTCTTTTTTGGCGGCTTTTACAGTAACATTTATAGCATAATTATGAATTTGATGTTGAGGAGCATTGAATCATTAGATAGATTAGATAGCTTCAATATTTGACCACTGTTTATAATAATACGTGGTTACAGTGACAGTAATATTTAAATTTTCTGTCAGGAATTCAAAATCAATCTGTAGTTATTGATAATTGGAATAGAATAACGAGACTCACACCTGTACATATTCAGTTGCTTTTACTCCCATTCATTTTTGATCACAGGGCTTTGCTACACAACATCCATCAGGGCTTTAAGTCCAAAAGGGAAATATTGATGTATTCACACATTTACTTCTTATCTTTAGATAAAATAATTTCTCTTTGTTTTCCATTAATTATGTAGTCTGATGCGAAGTGGCTTCAACCACTGTCTGCCTGTCTCTCTTACGGGATTGATGACTTGCAGAAAGACAGTTCTCTGCAGATCCATCAATCAGTGTTATGTGATCATATTTCCCACCTTCCAGTGATGTAAACTTCTGTGTTCTGTCTCTGTATATCTATGATGAAACATGAAGCTAAGAAATATATGATTACGATAGGAAATGGTTTATATGTGTTTTTCATGCATTTTGGGGTATTTTTATAATAATAAAATGTGTTTACATGATAATAAACCAGTGTAATATATAAAAAAACGAAATATAATGCGTTTATGCATTATTATATACAAAATCCACAATACAATGTTAATACAAACAAATACAAAGTGAGTTTTGAGCTGAATCTCAAAACTCTTAATCTCATACTGTCATGTGTAGTTTTCAGTCTGAAATAGACATTCTGAAAAGCCCTGCATGGATTAGGGCACCTGAACCAGTATCACATATCCCAGACGGTGTCTCTGTTGTCACACAAGTGGGAGCGCTGTCCGTTTATGATTTTATTGTTTGCACTGTCATGTTACAACATTTTACTTGGCAGTGTTTTAAATATAGTGAGTTTGCAGTCATCATTTTGTATAACCGTGCATTAGATGATGTTGCAGTGAGTTGTGTGTTGTGTTTTGCAGAACTGCCGAACGTGTGCTCAGTGTGGCATGAGGCCTAATGGCCAGTGGTCATCTAATGGTGTAATGTGTGAAGGATGTCAACAGCAGCGTGATTCAGCGCTGGTCTGCCTCATCTGTGGGCAGAATCAGGACTCTGGCCACCCTCTGGACAAACACTCTTGCTGCACTTGTAAGAGGTAGGAAATGACAATGTCACACAGTCTCAAGTGACCTGTTGCTTTAATGAAACTGATTCTGCATAAACAGTATGACACATATTTCCATTAAAATGTTATTTTATTAAGGAAATTCAATAAGTGTCATCCTTGTTGCAAGTGAAATTTGTGTGTGTGTATTTTCCTTGCATTAATTTATCTTAGTTTGTTCATAGTTTAAAGGAGTGACTGTCCATGTTGGTACCCAATTTGACACGTTTGTACTACATGACATTAATACGACTGCCATAGTATTATTACTACTACAGAGCTTGAAGATATAATCCCTGACATGTAAACGCTGTTATATGGGGAAGAGATGTTTCGCATCATAGCGGTTACTATATTATGTATTTTAGCATGTCTGTGTTGACCAACTAGAGCTATCTGTTTTATAACATTATTCGTACAAACCTGAATACTGACAATATAGTCTCAGGTGTTGTTATCCATTATTAGTGTGAAGACTCAGTCAGTGTTGATGAATAATAGCTGATTATTATCTGCAGACTTCAAAGACTATGATTAACCAATAGACAAATTCAGAGAGGTCTGCATTAGGGATGCTCATTTCGGTTAAAGGGGGTCATATGACGTTGCTAAAAAGAACATTATTTTGTGTATTTGGTGTAATGCAATGTGTTTATGTGATTTAAGGTTAAAAAACACATTATTTTCCACATAATGTACATTATTGTTTCTCCTCTATGCCCCGCCTTTCTGAAACGCGTCGATTTTTACAAAGCTCATCGGTCTGGAAAGCGAGGTGTGCGCTGATTGGCCAGCTATCCAGTGCGTTGTGATTGGCCGAATACCTCAAGCGTGTGACTGAAATGTTACGCCCCTTACCATACTGTGATGCCGTGTCCCGGCTCGACGATTCAAAAACATTAAAACTCATTATAAACGAGGCATTTGTTGCATCCAGTGGGGACATAATTACTCATTATAATGACTTATACTGTCTTTTTACGCATTGGTTGCATCGCGCCGCATAAACATAAAACCATGTCTGCATTTGTGATCAGAGAAACGACAAACAAGCGCTACTCTACACTGCTCAAAACTCGCGTTTGAATCGTAAGTGGCAAATTCTTTAAATATGAAGACGTACTTACAGGCTGTGAATCAGAATCGCCAGACTGTCCTTGCAAAGTTGGAATTGCCCCACTTTATAGAAACAGACACCGGCATTGTAGGCTACTCTCCCAGGAAACAGTCC